ACCCGCATCCGACCCTACTAACCGAACCCAGTCCGCGGGCCGATTCTGTAGCCCTCGAAAGGACATATCTCAGGTGTCTTAGAACACCCCTGACGCATTCGCCCCACGGCGATAGCGGGAGACTGACTGGAGAATCAACCACTTGACGCATCATCAACCCTACATAAGCCTGTTGATTATATACTTCCCATCGCTCCTCGCGAGTGGTCACGCGCGGTGTCCGCCCAAAATCCTCAAGATTGGTGCTCTCGGGGAACATGTCTGAAAATGCTGTGGCCGTGTCTTGTTCATCCCCAATATCTGTGGCACAGTCGAAGGCCTTTATTGTCAATGACGGGCAGTGGCCACAGTACTCAGACTTTCAAGCATTGCAGCCTGAACGCAGAGAGATCCGACTGCTTCAACGGGACACCAAGGCAGATACACATTCTATGAGGTACAAGATGGTTCATGCATCGCTTCAGAGAGATCCCGAGTACTTTGCTGTGTCATACTGCTGGGGTCCTCCTGTACCAGGTGGTGCCCTGAAGGAGATATTCATTAATGGGTTGCCTGTTCGAATCAGACCGATATTGTACTCGTTCCTAAAAACCATGAGGATTCATGAACCCGAAACAAGCCTGTGGATTGATGCTATTTGCATCAACCAAAGAAATAATACGGAGCGCAGCCATCAAATCTCTATCATGGGTGATATCTTTGAAGCGGCACAAGGTGTATTTGTCTGGCTGGGGCGAGGTGACGATTATACCGATTATACTATGGATCATATTGGAAATTCGCAGCCACAGACTGACTACAACCCTCTCTTGTTCTCAGATGGTGCCGAGAAGCTCTTGAGAGCTACTTATTGGACGCGACGGTGGGTTATCCAGGAATTTGCCCTAGCTCAGGAGATCAAGATTGCCTGTGGGCGATATTTGACTGGATGGGATAAGTTCACGAACAGCATCAACGACAAGGCCCTGAGGAATAACCATCCGCTCCAACAGACGCTGGAACGCTTTGAGCGTTTGAGGACTCCTGCACGACGGCAGATGACATTACTTGATCTGATGGAGCTGTTCCATGATGCAAATTGCACTGAGCCACTCGATAGAGCATTCGCGCTGCGTGGCCTTGCAACAGACAGAGAACGACTATCACCGAATTACCTCGACTCAGTTGGTAACCTTTACTTCCGACTGCTCTCCATGTTGCCTACCGAGAGAGTTTTGCCTGTGATGTATGGGTATCGTTGGCCACACCAAGCGGCACATCGGCTGTCAAAGTGCATGCGAATTACGAAAAACGACATTTTCAGTTCATTAACGAGCACTTCAACAGATCGTCTTTTTGCCGTGTTTGAATTTATCGACTCGATCGCAAAGGTCTCCGGCGCGGGACACAGGACAACTGAAGACCCCCTAGGTGACCATTTCACTTCTTTCCCCCTAGAAGTTCAGCTTGGGGATTACTGGAAGACAATCCTTCGCGGCAGTATAGGCCTCCTGCCAGGGGATAGGGTCTACGGCTTACGGTCAACGTCTGATTCACCAAAAGGGTTTTTTATGGCTTTTAGATCTTCCGCTGCAGGCCAGGCTGTCGCGGGCGTGATGATTGAATGGCCAGAGAGAAATAAAGAAAGTCCACACTGGGAAAACATTGACTATCCATACGCTGACCCTCTACCGAACGAGAAACTTCGTGACAAGAGATTCGAATTCATTAAACATGTGATTCTTGGCGGAGTGTCCATGTGTTCTCGCAACGATCCAGATTTGCGTCGGGAAGCTCGAGTCCTCTGTCACATCAATAGGGTCACACTTATTCTGCTGTGGCTGCTTGACGCCCAACAACTTGACCACCTTTGGAACATCCGTGAGGAGATTCAGACTTGGTCCGTTGGGAAGCGTACTCTGTGCAGCTGTGCAGGAGACAAAGAAGGAACACTGGGGCGTGTTCCCGAGACAGGCGGGCACCAGAACAGCACGGTTGAGATACTACCTTCCTGGAAGTTGCATCAGGATAAGTTCTGGGCTGAAGAAATGACAACCCCTTGGAGTGACCAGGTTCAACATGGGCGACAAGAGCAACTCCATGACGAAGGTTTTGCCGCGGAATCCAATTATATCCAATTTAATCGGCCTAAAAGAACTACTTTATCATGTGCTGCTGAGGACGGACTTCCACGTTTCGTGAAGCAATTGATCTTGAGCGTCATAGACGTTAATGAGTCAGACATTCAAACATCAGACACGCCGCTGTTGTGGGCAGCTGATCGCGGCCATGACGAGATAGTGAAGATTCTTCTTGATGCCGGTGCGAATATCGACGCTCAGGACGAGAACGGCAATACTGCACTAATGGCGGCGTCAGGGAATGGCCATGATAAGGTGGTGGAGATTCTACTTGATGCCGGTGCGAATGTCAACGCTCCAACCAACTTGGCACTAATGGCGGCGTCAATTGGTGGCCATGATAAGGTGGTGGAGATTCTGCTTGATGCCGGTGCGAATGTGAAGGGTGCGCTGGGAGCCGCGTCAGATCCCAGTCGTTTCGCAGATGACAATCACAATCATTACGCAGTGGTCAAGATGCTCCTCGGTGTTGGCGGGTGCCCATTCACCCAGAAGGAGCTGAACGAGGCACTATTAAAGTTCTCAGAGGATGGGCGTGTCGAAATGGTGCAACTGCTACTAGAAGCGCGAGCAAACGTCAATGCTGAATATGAGAGTAGTACGTTGCAGGATGCAATCGTGCAGGCTTCGGCAAAGGGCCACAGCAGCGTGGAAAAGATACTGCAGGACGCCCTGGCACGGCAGGGCCGTGGACGTTGAACCTTTTCATACATCAAAAGAAATGACCTCTGGATATGACATGACATAACGAAGGCTTGAGGAGCCTCAAGCTACACTGAATTGATGTGCAGTCGTTCTGCCAGCCTTGAGGCAACCTCGGGACCGCAGAGCTGACGCCCCAAGGTGGCCTGCAGGACTCAATGGGTGAAGCGGACACCTGCGCCGGAATGCCCGTCCTTGGTGATTGCTTTGTGTCTGGATTCCCGTCTGGAATGGAGATCATGGGGCGCAAGCACTTTGACATTAGGACCGAGTACATGAGAGTCCTGGACACATCTGGACCCGAGTCTCGTGGCGTCTCGTCCCTCGTTGTGTCATTCTGCTCTCAGCTCCTGATGTGTCGATTGATGCAGAGAGATGTCAGACCATCTCTCGACGATAGGTGCTCTCACTCTTCTTGAGGGGTTCCCGTCGCAGGATAAAGGTATTCCCCTTAGGTACCTTGAGGGTGGTAGATCTGGGATCTCGGATTGTGGTGGACTGGCTTTGCACCTAGCGACTGACACTGCGCTCGGCAATAATCTGGTTGATAGAGTTCGAGGCAGAATCAAATCCTGGCCTTTTTCATGAGCTGAACGATGGCCTAGATGAAGGAGGCGGTTGCGAAAGATTCGGGGCCACTTTTGGCTAGGGTAGCCGCAGAACGATCCAGATCAGTAAATGTCCGCGACACGCGTCATCTCTGGGGCGAGCGCCAATACAGTTTTACCAGGAAATTCAGCTGTTTTAGTGGTCGTTCGCTGAATTGTAGTCTGCGGCATACCTGGGACAGTAGGGAGTGGTCAGCAGCGAGGTCGGTCTCCAGAGCAACGGAACTTTCTGTCACGTGCCACTTACAAAATCCACCCTACGGAATTGTCCCCGGAAACGTTCCGCCGCGACTTCGGAGGCGGCAACAGCGATGCGGAGAAATAGAAACCCTCCCCCTTCACCACCACAAAGCCTAATCAGCAACCGTCAATATAAAACAGGGACAATTTCAAATCCCCCGATTCGAAGTGGACGTCGTCAATCACTCCTTCCTCCTCACCCAGCCAATACACTCCCCCTCAAAGATGTCCGCCAAAGTCGCGCTGGTCACGGCCTCGTCGGCCGGTCTCGGAGCCGCCACGGTCAAGGCTCTGGCCCCTTACTTCCGGGTGGTGGTGAACTACCACTCGCGGCAGGAGAAGGCCGACCAGGTGATCAAGGAGGCCTCGGCGATCCAGCCCACGTACAGCGCGGCGCCGGACCAGCCGCGGTTCCACGCGATCAAGGCCGACGTGTCGCAGCGCGGCGAGATCGAGCGGCTCGTGCGCGAGACGGTCGCCCAGATGGGGCGGCTGGACGTCGTGGTCAGCAACGCGGGCTGGACGCGGCTGACCAACTTCTTCGACCTGGAGCAGCAGCTGGTCGAGGACGACTGGGACCGCTGCTTCAACGTCAACGTCAAGAGCCACCTGTGGCTCCTCTACGCCGCGAAGCCGCACCTCGAGAAGACCGCCGAGACCGAGGGCGTGGGCGGCGCCTTCGTCACCGTCGCCAGCCTCGCGGGCGTCCGCCCCAGCGGCAGCTCCCTGCCGTATTCCGTCACCAAGGCCGCCGAGATCCATCTCACAAAGGGCCTCGCGACGATTTGCGGCACCAAGGTCCGGTGTAATAGTGTCAGTCCGGGACTCATGATGACGGAATGGTGAGACACCTCTCTCTCTCTCTCTCTTCCCGGTGTCTGATAGCAGCAACGATACTAATTTTCCGGGTAAAGGGGCAACCAATTCCCCGAAGCAAAGGTCAAAGCCACGGTCGACAAGGCCGCCTTGAAATCGACGGCCACCCCGGAGGATGTCGCCGACCAGATCAAGACGCTCGTATTGAGCAAGTCCATCACGGGCCAGAATATCGTGTTGGATTGTGGTATTGCGATATAAAACGGTTTCCTTTCTAAAGAAAGAAATATAAACTCTTCTATTTCTCCCCTTCCTGTTTCGTATTACCGTCCAAGTTTACATCAGGCAAACAATCATGTTGCGGCATGAAACGTAGGTCTCGTGTGTGAAGGTGTGGATATCAATCCATGTGCAAAGCTGGGATCCTCTCCATCGAAATTCACTCGGAGCTCGCACTCTCCTTCGTTAAGGCCCGCCCGTTTTTGGAGAAGTCCCCCGTTCCTAAAGATCCTGACTACCCATCACTCTCCCCTTCCGCAGCCTTGATAGCCTTGAAATACCTCTCCACAAGGCGATCAATCTTCCCCTGAATCCTCTCCTTCAGGCTTTCAAGATCATCCCGCGAGCCTTTCTTGATACTGTCCCTCTCATCGCAGAGCCCTGTGACCAGGTCCACACCGGCGGCCTTCGTCCGCTGGCATTGAAAGCCGAGAGTCTTCCAGCAGTCCAAGAGCTGGAAGTACCGCGCGGAGAGGCCGCGGATGGCGGTGAGTGCGCATGTAATCAGCCTCTGCACCTCGGCGCCGTCGAGCGAGATTCGAAAGTCGCCTGGGAGAGTCACGCCCGGGGTTGGCATCTCGGAGTACGGTCTGAAATCCGTCGAGGGCAGATGGACGACGTCGTCCCCGTGGAAATGAGGCGAGCTTGGGCTTGGACTTGGGCTTGTGCTCTGACGGAATATGTCGGCGTGCATGGATCTCGCGCATTCGTCGAGTTCGGCGAGGAGCCACCGCAGGAGGTGCAGCGGGATTTCGACTGTTTCTTCCGGAATTGGTTGCATTGCGAGTGAAGTGTGGTCGTCCATGACTCTGGCGAAAGAGCAGCTACGGTTCAAGTTTAACGCTGCTAGGAACTCTGCAACTGTTCTGGACTCCTGGTATATCGGGCAACGGTTAAATAGAGCCAACTTCGTCAAACGCGTAGAGGAGGGATGGCATTTTGGGCTGGTTTGTGCAAGTCCGAACAAACGAGATCCGATGGTTTGTATATCGAGCGAATGCTGATATGCGTCTGCAGCCTATCTCACACATCAGCCCCGTTGTCGATCAACTCGAGTTTCCGCAACGTCTCCAGCGCAGTTTGACACCCCCGTTTGACAACATCCCTAGCCTTCTTTGCGACCAAGTCCGAAGTCCTCACATTCTTTTTGATGAAGAATTGCAACCTCTTGATGATCTGCGGCGTCTCAGCTGCGCGCTCAAACACCTTGATCAACGCGTCCGGTATATCTTTCGCCTCGATCATCATGATGATGAGCAACAGCTCCACAAACATCGCCGTTCGTTCCTTGATGTAGGCGAGTTCCAGCACTTTCAGGACACCGAGAGTCTCTGCTCCATCCAGGATCAAAAATGCATATAACCTGGCGAGGTTGGCGATCTCAGTCATTTCAACTTCTTGATCTCCTTCACCGGCATCTTCTTCCTCTTCATCTCCCCGGTTCGGATTCTCGCCCATCCTCTTGAAAAAACTCCATAGCGCAAACTGAAAGGCCTTGCGCATCTTCTTCTCCAGACACAATTTCCGCGCCACGAGTGTGTAATAGTGGTTATATGGATCTTCGCCGGCGCTGCAGCGAAGCAGGACTTTGGGAATCTCCTGCTCCTGTGTACGCTTGAGACGCAGTTTGAGAAGGCGCATGTGCGCGTCCTGGTAGTCCACTGCTGATAGAAGGGCGACAAAGATAGAGCGGCGGATGTCCGTGTTCATGCCGTAATGGCGTGAAAGGGCGATTAAATCGACCGAATCATCGTCATCAAGCCCACCGCCGGTCATCGGGATCGAGGCGTCGACGCGCCCTTCAGCAGCTGCTGCTGCCGCAGGCTCGTGACCTTTCCAGCTGGCGCCAACTAGCCACCATCTCCCCTTCTTGTCGCTGTTCTTGATATCATCCCTCGTAATTCGCAATGGCTCGGAAGCTCTCACATTGCGGCTGTTGTTTAACGAACCAAGCACTTTCCGCATCAGTGTGATGTGCTCACTTGCAACGCCTGCATTGTTTGTCGCGGCTTTCATCTTGTTGTTCTTCAGATCCGTAATTGTCTCGATCATGAATTTCGTCCTGACGCTCATTTGTTCCCCGGCCGAATTCATCCGTGCCGCTTCCTTCTGCATTATTTGGACGATCTCTTTGAGAGAGGAAGGATCATCTTGCCGCAATTGGTGGCCGCAATCTCGGACGACACGGAGTAGCAACTCCGTATTGTTCTCGCTTAGTCGCTCGAGCAATAGTCGGATGTAGTGGAAGATGATGGCGCTGCTAATCAGATGGAATGTGAAGAGGTGACAGAGAAGACTTATCAGATTCAGTGCCTCTTTGCCAGTCGCGGTATCGCTGCGGTATTGATCAAGTCGCTCGACCAACTGCGAAAGCATGTCCGCCCCGAAATCCACGCCGATGACTTTGTACACTGCTGTCGCATATGCGGCGTGAAGGATGACAAAAGTGTTCGAGAGAGCTGACTTGTTGCAGAATAAGGTCAAAAGGAGGTCAATTAGAACTGACGTGACGTCCTGCCTAGGATTGGACTGGTAGAGTTTCTCGGCCTCTCCGAGTATTGGCAACAGGTTCGCTTCGGATAGTCTGTTAAGGTGGCCTTGAAACTGTCTTTTCAGTCTTTCCAGCGAAGGGCTTTCGGAATTTTGTGCTTTTCTGAGTGACGGCGGGATGTACTTTCCTGTGGGTGTTTGGGGGACTGGGGGGACGTAAGGATTTTCTCGGACCTTTTTTGGCTGTACGTCGGACGTGTCTTCGCCTGACTCGAAACCTTCGAAAGAGTCCTCACTTCTCTGGTCCAGATCTTCATCAGAGTGCTCCTCTTCGGACTCTTCGGGGTTCTCGCCCAGCAGATCATCACGGTCTCCTTGTTCTGCCTCGAATGCTTCAAGCTCGTCGTCATCACTCCCCTCTTCAAGATCAAAGTCGCCCTCACTAAACTCATCATCCTCAAGGTCGGCCTTTCTTCTTTTCCTGTCCAACCACGCATCCTCCTCACTCTTCCTCTTGACGCCACGATCCTCTCCGTCTAGCCCCTCCAGCAAGTCGTCCAACCCATCATCCGCAAAAGATTTCGAAGTTTTCTTTTTCTTCAAGCCGAGCTTTCTCTCAAGGGCCACGATCTCTGCATCATCTTGGGCAGCTCGCTCTTTGAAGGCTTGGGAATTGGCGTCTAGGACGAGACCTGGAGAGGAAGACCGTGATCGCGACGGAAGAGAGGTTTCGGATAGAGATGGGGACGGGTTTCTTTTCTTTTTGAGAATCGATTTCAGCTCTTTGGGCTCGTCTTCCTTGATCTTTGGTTTCACCGCGTCTTTCTTTGAAGTATTGGACGAGCGGATGGGTTCGTCAGCACTGTCTTCGTCCAGGTCTTCATCTGAGAGCCCCTGCTCTGCAACAGGTGGCCTCCTTTGTGACCCTGATCCGCGTATATTCTGTTTCTTCTCCTGCCTTTGTGCTTTGCGCTGCTCTTTTCTGCTTTGCACCGAACCATGCTGCCGCCGACCGCCTCCATCGCCTCCAGGTCGTGACCTCCCCTCGAGACCAAGTTCCTTTTCAAGTGCAAAGGGCAATTTCAAGCCATTCCGCGGTCGCGCACTCTGTCGTGACATTGTGTCTGGATAACAGGTCTCCACGAGTTCTCAACCTTTGATCTGAGAGCATCAGCAAAGGGCTGTTGTAGACTGCGCACTGGCTGGACTTAATTTTCGTGGAAAATGCGGAGATGGTTTAGCCGGAGTTTAGGCGGCATTTTTGAGGACTCGGTCCTCCCCACCAAAACGACAATTCGGTCAGTGCAATGAACCTGCTAAGTCACTTAACGGCAAACGGATATGGCGCAAGAACGTCTAAGCAACGACGAGGTAATGTGTACCCCTTGCTAGGCTACGACACATAATTGACATGAAATCGCACAGTTCCTCTCCCGCCTCACCACCCTCCTTTCCTCAACCCATGCCGCAACTCACGGCTCCGTCTACCTCACGCAAAAGCCCTTGAAATCCACCGATGAATCAACCTCGTCTTCGCCCTCGTCACCACAGGTTCTAATACGCGCCTCGAACGGCCTCTCAAAGCCACACCGGCTGGCGGCCAAGAAGTCGAAGGCCAGCGATGCCAAGAAGGAGAAAGTGAGGTTCGCGACCGTGGTGGAGACTTCAGAGTTGGAGGCATTTTATACCAAGTATGCCGAGACCTGTAAGAAGGGGATGGAGGGGCTGAGGAAGAGGGACAAAAAGAAAGCCAAGGAGAAGGCAAAGGCGAAGAAGAAGGGCAAGGCTGGAGCAGGCGGCGGCGCTGGCGCGGAGAAAGCCTCTGGATCGTGAAGGGAAGGAAGAGCCCCGTTTCCCTGATGGGCTACATTGGAAGCTGTTTTGCAGCGCGGGCATCCGAACTGGAGACAATCGGGGACTGAATGCCCTATGCTTGAATCTCGCCTTCTATCGGCTGGACCAAATCGACCTGTGAAAGTGCACCGGATGCGCCTGGACATACGTTGGACTGGGATATGACTGGAGCTGAAAGAACCTCATGAACCACGGACTGCTTGCCGGTCTACCCTGGTGAGGCGAGAGGAAGCACTTCAGGCCATGTGCGTCAGGCCTATAGCCGACAACTGTCCATATGGCATTGCTTATCAGGATACCAAAGACGTCCGCAAAGATGGATGAATATCCTGTGTCTGACACGAGAGCTGCCATACATGAGACACAGACAGAAAGGATCTTGAAGCAGCCAATTCATTGCAACTCCGCCATTGGGCGTGAAAACTGGTGGTATCATCAAGCAAAAAGCAAACATTCCACAAACTTCCCACTATCTTTGTACACAGGACCCAGTCGTTACTATGGTCATGAAGGAGCGCCATGCTCAAATATAAACCTCTCACGTTGATTAATAGTGATAGATAACCTGGATGCTTTGGTCTCGCACACGTGATAACTCCCTCGTCTCAACAGACTATATCACGAGTAGGACACCTAATCCAGATCAAAGATGGAGTCTGCATCGTCATCTTTCGTAGTCATGGTGTTTGTTGTATCGGGATTCGTGCCTGGATCTTGACTTTTCGTTCGGCCCCTGATTGGCATTCCAAAGTCATCTTCTTCCTCGCTGTCATCCCTTGGCGCAGGAGGCTGGTCCGGGAAGCTTGTTCTCCGCCGATGTGTTTCCGGTCTGCGAAACAACTCGCCACTAAGTAAGTCACTCACCGTGGCGCCACCGGCTATTCGAGCGAGAATATGGACCAGCAGGACAACAGCTTCAATGGGTTTGACAAATGCCACATTAGCCGCTTTCTGGAGAAAGTCGGCAGTAAAGGGACTACCATAGTTTGTTGGGGATGGTGAAGATGATAGCAGAGTGGTGGATGGCGGCAGAGGCGAAAAGGATCGTTTGGCGTGCAAGCGCCGCCTCAATCCCTCTTTGATCGGCGATGTTGGTGGTGTGTGAACCTCTGGCCAAGACGAATCAGACATCGAGGACTGCGCTAGACCTGGAGTCGAAGCCTTGTCCATCGAGTCACTAGTCGAGGGCCTTTTCTTAGGACTTTGTTCGGATTCCACAGTGGAGGCCGTGACTGTAAGCTCGGAAAGACCTCTTTGGTGCTGATTCCTATTCAAAAAGAAAGGAGTAAACCCTTCCGCTTGAGGCCGCTGTTCAAAGTCAATAATCTGTACATGCCCATCAAGGGGTTCTTGCGCTAAAGAATCTGTCGTATAGAAGGAATCCACACTCGAAACTCTGCTAAGAGAACCCTCGGTTTCGAGGACGGCAACCACTTCACGCGGCCCAGAGTCTCCTTCCTGGTGTAAAGTTGGGGGTTGTTCAGAAGTCCCGGTATTCTCTGATAGGGGCTGCTCTATTGTGGTCTCAGCGTCTGCGTCATCGGTCGCTGGCTCAATGGTTTGGGAGAGTGCCAGTTCAGATTCGGACTCAGTGGAGGGAGACGTTGTTGTGGTCTGTTCTGACTCCTCGGGAGCAACCTCCGTGGAGCCTTCTCTGTCATCCCCATGGTCCCCTTCTAGTTGCTCTCCCGGATGATCAACTACGGGGCCGACTTTCTCTTGAGGGACCTCGTTTTCCAAATTCTCCCCTGTTGATTCTGGCGCATTTGTCTCGCCAGATATCTCCTCCATATCGCCTTCCTGAGGCTGTACCGACGTTGGCACCCCTTCAATAGTCGATTGTGCCCCGGTTTCAATTGTGGAAGAGTCGACAGGCTGTGCAAGAGACATATCCTCGGACTCTTCAGTTCGACCGGCTTCGTCGTCCGATCGAGAGGATGGGATCGCATCCCTGTGTTCTTTTTCAGCGATGGACGATCGCTGCGATCTCGAAGCGCCGATTGCGCTTCGAGTAAGCCCCCGCCTGGGAGCGACCTCCTCGCGCTCCTCATCGTGTTGTGAACCATCCTCGCTAGACTCGTCATCATGTCTTCTCTCAAGAGGGTCGTCGCCAGAAGCTACACTAGATGGGGTGGAGGAGCGGTAGCCATCAGCTCCGGGTCGAGATCGAGACGAGCTTGGACTTGGGCTGTAGCCATAATCTGACCCACGACGCCCATAAGTCTGGACGGATGTCAAGCCGTTCTGACCTTGAAAGCTCCAGGCTCGTGAAGTCTTCGTCCTCCCCATGGGCAATGGATCAGTGTTGGGGGTGGTCGGATCTGGTTGCTGTCTTCGTTTCCAAGTTCCCTTCCTTCGAGGCGTTATTGCATCCTCCGGAAGATCCACGTGAAATGCGCGCTTGAAAGGACATGGCGTTCTCTCAAATCGGAGGACTTTCGGTAGGGCAGCTTTCAGTTCTTCGACCTTTTTCTTGTCCTCCTCTGTTTCTGAGGGTAGCTCAATTCTGTAGTATCTGAATTTTCCTATGCGCAATACGAATTTGGATTCTCCGTCGACACACCAACACTGTGAATTGCGCATGATGGTGTGGATGACCTTCTGGTCGGCAGATTTGAGGAAATAGCTGGAGCCGCGGACCTTCTCTATCACTATAGGGCCTGTGGCAGCCAGAATCTCTGAGCGCGATCGCCACGGTAGTGTTTCTACCGTGTCAATGGGATAGTCGGCATCGGGGAGCGTCTCCTTGCTCTGTGGAGGGATCGACTCTCTGGGAGGGGAGAAGGCGATAATGCGCGCAGAGGGGTGGGAGTACAGGATATCGGCATCGGCATCTGATTTGTCGAGTCCAGCTCTTTCATGTAGGGAGAGTGAGCGTGAAGGGACAGTAAAGGACCTGCGGTAACTTTGGAGGGGAGGGGCGTCGCCGTAGGAAGGAGGTGGACTGGCCATGATGCATTTTCACAGGCTGCGGGGATCACATAAAGAGGGCATCAATGGCGAGACTGGGTTCATCTGGTCAAGGTTGTATGAATGAGGAGGATTGTGCCAATGTTGATGTTCGTCCCTCAAACAAACCTCACAATATCGACCGAGCCACAACGGCGGCGTGGGCGGCTACAAGCGAGAAAGCCACATGCTGTCGGAGAGGGAACCAGCAGCAGCCGCTAGGCGTCTTGGCATTATACTACCTAGTCACGTGTATCCCTCCGTGCCAAGAATCCAGCCATGCTACATTCGGGCTGAATTGAATGGTCTGACCCGAATTTCTCTATCATGGACCCACTTCACTGAATTTAGGCGCGGCCCAAATATACAGGTAGGATCAGAATATAACGCCTTAAAGACGATCGTCTGATGGAGCTATTTAATAAGGTATTTTGGCTCGAGTGCGCTTCAACATAGAACTTCTTGGCGATCTAGGTGAAGAGGCAGTCCAGTCCCCCATAAGCTCCGAGCAATAAGGCATATACTTAAGCTCAGATCAGCGTTCCATGTACCGAGGCCGAATTTAGGCCTGTAACGGTAAACTTGATCCAACAAGTACCTGCACAACGTTCTCGCGGCCACCCTATAATGCTGCCTGTAGCGCATTACTATATAGGCCTCATGCGTTAACATCGGCACCCTTGTCGAGTAGCATCTGCACTATCTTCTCGTAGCCCCATCTTGATGCCGCCTGTAGTGCGTTACCGTACGGGCCTCCTTGTGCGTTAACATCGGCACCCTTGTCGAGGAGTATCTGCACTGTCTTCTCGTGGCCACCCTGTGATGCCGCCTGTAGTGCGTTACCATAC